TCGAGAACGAAATTCTTCTTCGATTGCGACGAGATTTTCGCTTTGAGTTCCCGTAGATATTTTTGAGCTGTTCCAGAACTGATTAGAAATCCGAAGCCGCAGGTTTTGGTCGAGCTAATTGAGGTAACTCACCCTTCGCCAAGTCATCGGATATTTCAAGATCTCTGTCTTTTGCGGACATGGAAAGGTATAGCGCGGTGACGGACAGCCGCTTCGACTGGCGAAGGGACCGTGTATCGTGGGACGACATTGTGTTTTGGCGGGTAACGGGCTGGAAAGAGGAAGACGAGGATGTAGATGCTCTCGACGCCGGTTGCAACATTGTTGCTACAGACATATTGTGAAAGAGTAGGTAGGGTGGTAGTTGTGCTAAATGAACCCACAAAAACGGACAATCGCACAAATACGCCTGTACTTATATCGATGAGAGTCCAGCCACCAGACTTGACGACACGTTCAAATCAAGGAAAACCACTGGGAACCGCCAGATATTTGTCGCTGGCTGGATTTTAGATATCGAAATTCAGAGCCTGACCATCTGTAGCTTGAGGCGTGGGCGCGCGCACGTAGCGAAGTTTGCAGAGTATACCTCCTTATCGCACGCGTCGAAAAGGGACCTGTCGGAGCGAGCGAAACGCGATCAATCGAGAATGACCAATGGATGATGAACGTCGCAGGCGTTTTCGACTCGTCCGTATGCTGTGCTGATATACTAGAATTAAACTGAGGGTCGACGCTTGTACGACTTTCGAGCAGGCTAGCAACAGGGGGGTTGATGGTTTTTGAAGGAGGCAGGGACGGTCGCGCGGTCCGGTAAAGCAATTGAGACAGTTGAGCTGAATTGTCTCAAGCGGAGAAGCAAAAAAAGAATGTCGAGACCGTTGGTATAGGTGATGGTTGGGAGGGAAAGATTATGCACAGTAAAGTAGGGAGCGCAAGGATGGATGGGAAGGAATTGATGAGTCCAAAGCGATAGAGTAAAAGGTAAGTAGAGAAGGGGCGGCGGGATGATCAAATATGGGGGTGTATGCGAATAACTTAGCAATGCCAAAATAAAAAGGAGGGTACAAGTGATGGTAGGATCTACTACTCCGTATATAGTATTAGTTGCATATTATAATGATATCAAATAATGTCGATGATGGCAAGTTTAATGGATATTAAGAATCAGGAAGCAGGAGGGGTTACAGAGGAGCGGGAAAAAAAAAGGTCAAATAAAATAACAAAAGGATAGATGTCTCATTTTGGGTTTAGATATGAGAGAAACAATAAGAAGAAAACAAGAGAACAAAGAAAAAATCCCAAAAAAAAAAAGAAAGTGGAAGGAGGGGAAACCAAGGCACCCTCGGATGGGGATTTCTGATTTTTTGGCTCAGGGATATTATTACAATTTACCGCCCATTATTATTGATGCGGTGGAGAAAGGCATATCTCACCATGCATTAATGTAGGAGACTGAGCGTCTATGCATATGCGACAAAATATAAGGCTCCAGAGCTGTTCAAATGAGTAAACAGAAATGAGTTAAATTCCTCATGACATTGAGCAATAATTAGCTGAGAAATAATGCTCATGATGATGTGTGATGATGATGATTGTAGTAGTACTCCGTTCCTGACTTCCCATACATGGTACCTGAGCTTGTACTCCGTACCTGAGTAGGGAAATGCAAGTCCATTCAATAAAGGACCCAGCAGTTTGTCCCGTCTTTTTCCTGGTACCTGGATCTGAGCGATGAATATCCAGTATTTCCCTTGACAGTTAGAGGTAATAGTTAATAGAATCTCTCATACTCCGTTCCACTCATCAATATTAATAAAAATCATCTTAATTCAATTCATGATGGCCCCATGCAAGTCATGCCATTCGGCATCTGAATCAGCATTCTTCCGCAAGGAATGTCATCGAGATAGCCAGATAGTGATGACATATCTACAAAGCACGAAGTGATGGTCAATTTTCCAAGCTCAGGATGATAGTACCCAGATACTTCTAAGGTACTCTCATATTATAATACTACTGACATAGGTACGTACACACATGATTGCACCATATCTACTCCGCACCGACTCACCAACAAATGCCAGGGTCTTCAGTAAGCACAGTAGACTTAAAATATCCAAAGTGGTCGCCAGGCTTTGACGTCGAGATAATCGACAAATTTTGACGAATTTATCTTGTTCACAGTTCCAATATATGCAGGGTTGGTTTTCCTTGTTTCCTGCCTTTCAAGGGAAACGTTTGTATCACTTGTCCTACTTCTGCCATCAGATCAAGGAAATCCTAATAATTCTACGACGTATCTTAAGGCAAGTTTATCCGAATCAACAGAACGGATGATCATCTCCCGCACTCTTATTTTCTCCTATTTCAGAGTCTGACGTTTGAAGTGTGCCGACTTGATGCAGGACGCCGCAAGGGGAATGTCTCCATCCGCTGGGGGCTGGAGCCACCTGCTGCACGCACCTAAAATGTCGGTAGGCAGATGCTGGAAACAGGCCTCGAGCTGGAGTTTTTACAGAGTAAAGTAGGTACTATCTAGGTAGCCTGTGCTCTTCCAGCGAATAAAGATGAAGATAGTACCTAGTTTTAACTTTCTTTCCCCTTTATGCTGATGAGTAACGTACGGACTACGGAGTACGGAGTACTGGGAAAATCAACAGTAAATTATGATGATTATCATTATGGGGCTAAGTTTTACCCCTGGCCCAGTGCGTTAACCTGTGACCAGCCGGTACACCCAGATCGCCACCCCTCAAACTGTAGGTCAGTTTAAAATGCGGTCTGTCAGACTATTATTTAGCAGCCAGAGACCTTCTGAAGCATACCTTAGTCATCCATGAAGATGAAATTCTGTAACTGTTTGGGAATTTACCTCTCGACTTTGGGCTCAATGATAATACCGTTGATTAACTTGATTCGATATTTAGATGGTTCATAAATAATGACGGATATGCAGGCTCACCAGTAAGGAAAAGTGGAGGTGGCTCGTTATCAAGGACAGAAATCACCTGGACTAGACTAAATGTCTCACAGACCATGTTGCACATCCCTAGTCTTACTCTTAATGCCTCCAGAGGTGTCATATGCAATGTTATCAACAACATCATCATTACATCTACTGTAGAGAGTAAAACCTGAATTCCTGAGTTCATTCCTCAGGGTGTTTGATGGTTTTCTGCCATGTGTGCTTGAATCCGTGGTGCTCATTGGCTCCGTACCATTCTGACCTGAATCATGGCTGTCTTGCTGCATTGGCCCATCGTTCTTTCCCCCCCTCTCCCCACCCTCCATTACGGAGTACCTGCTTCATGATGGTTGCTGATAAGAGTCCTTATCAGAACACTTATCTAGCATTCTTGGTATTTTTGGTTTTCGTGCTAGTGTAGTCGAAAATCAGACAAGGAAACTGATTAGCAATCAATGAGCAGCAAGTATTTTTGGTAGCCTAATCAATAAATATAGAATGTTGTCTCACACAGAACAATGAATTAATCCATCATGGTTTCTTAGGCAAACGATGATTGTGCTGGTACCTGACTGTCCCAACCGTGGTGCGACCGCACTGAGGCCTGGAGTCCCCTGGAAGACGAGGAACTAGCAGGTTAGTGCCCATGCTAAGTATCCACCTGATCAGACCGGGGCCTGGTACCTGCATCAACACTCATCGGCTATTTTATTTATTTTTAATTTTATCTCTACAGAATACGGAGTATATTACGGAGTACGGAGTAGTATGCAGCTAGACAACCACATCTGTGCTTCAATATCGAGTCATCAACATCAACATTTGTGATTCGTAATTAGGACCTCCGGTGTAGTTTTTGCACATATATTCCAAGGAAAAGAATCCGAAAACCCCCATTTGCTCATCTTGATTACCTCCCAGACTGTTTGTTGTATAGGTTCAGCTCGATATCAATTACATCATGACCGTATTTGAGAGGATGATCAGAAACTACCTAGTGATGTACGTAAACTGACAACCACAGATGTTTCAGGCTTGTACTACTACAGAAATGGGTACTGTGGACTGGTAGGACCACTGAGATAGGTAATCAGCTGCGTGATACCCCATATTCTTACGGAGTACTATTGTTTCTTAAGGCCGCTATAGAAGTGCAATGATATTTGGTCAAGGACTCGCATTGGAAGACTACGCAATGAACTTAAATGCATATGTCAAGGATTAATCTTGACGCTAGTTATGCCAAATGATGATCAAGTGACCTGTAGATAGACTACAGCCACTGCATGACTCCAGACTTGGTACAGGTACTTGCTCCGTAGTCTGTCCAGTGTAAACTCACGAACCATGACACACGCACAGACCTCAAGCCCACGATCATGATACGAGATCTTACCTTGGTCCTGGGATCCTCAGGACGAACTTCGTATTCTAAAAGCTGGAGATTGGTCGCGTCAGCAATCCGACTGCCATGGTCTTTGTCCGGGTTCAACCGGAGTGACCGTTGACGGCATCCACGGCACCAAAACTGCGGTACTGCTGAGTGACCGTGCGGAGTAGATGGTGGATCGAGATCAGACCTCCTGCTAACTACAGGGCTACTATAAACTCGTACATCACAAGTGTTGCAATTATGGGGTAAGAACAATAAGCACATTGCTTTTGCTTGCTGCGTGGTGTGTCGTGTCTCCTGTTCTATTGAACTCTGTTTCTCTCTCCAAGCAACTAATTTCTATCTTCCTCTCATCACCTATGTATTTCTCCTTACACGACTCACTTTTGTCTATGTCTGATAGTCAGAGGAAAATATCTGAAATACCATCTCGGTCGATAATTCTCCATACCCCATACTATCTAAGCGATTAAGCTAGTGATGCTGACAAATATTTTCACATGCAAATCTCCAGCCTTGAAGAGGAATCTCCACAATCATAATGCAATATCAACAGAAACAAGAAAAAGCAGACGCAAATCAAAGAATCTGTCGCTCTCACTATACGGAGTACACATCTCCAGATCTTAAACGATCAGCATGACAACAAAAAACAACTACCTCCTCCTCTACAACACCCTCTCCTCCACCCTCTGGCTCCGCATCTTCCTCGGCGTCACAGCCGCACTCCTCTCCCCAAATCAACCATCCACAGATATCAATGTATACCCTCACCTCGAACCCTGGACAAGATGGACCCAAACCCTCGCCATCGTAGAGATCCTCCACGCCGCAACAGGTCCTTTGCCCCTCCACCCCCCATCCAGGCGCCAAAGCTAACATGATACACACAGGAATCACCCGCGCTCCCGTCTTCACGACCTTCACTCAGATCTTCACACGCTGCGTCCAAGTCTGGGCCGTGAACTACCAGTATCCCGAGCCGACGGCGTCGTCGCCCGCCTATACGGCTCTCCTGCTGGCCTGGTCCGCGGCGGATGCGGTCCGGTATGTGTATTTCGGTTTTCTTCTGGCGGGGGTCAGGGTGGATGTTGTTAAGTGGTTGAGGTGAGGAGATTCGTTCACCCTGTGGGACCAGCTTCCGTATCGGAATGGCAGTGATTGATATTCGCGATACGTAGATACTCCCTCTTCATTGTCCTGTATCCAGTTGGGATCGGGAGTGAGTGGTGGTTGATGTACAAGGCTGCTGCTTCCACGGTCAACCCCATAGGTGCTGTGGTTTTCTACTTCTGCCTTGCGCTATATGTTCCTGGTGAGTTTACTCGGAGTGACCGACGATGCAAAACAAAGCTAATGGTTAGGCGCCTTCATGATGTACTCGTACATGCTTAAGCAGAGGCGCAAGGCTTTGAAGTGTGAGTAGTGGCGTCCAGCTCAGATTACTGATAAATCAAGCACAAATCAGGGACAGATTTCAGATCAATACAAGGCGACCTCTTATTCGGACACTATCGGGTATCGCTATGCTCAGAACCAGAATAACCTATATCATGACCACCAAAGGATGCATCCGACGTCCATGTATCATAGAGAATGGAAGATAGCCATAGGCGGAGTACGAAGAAGCAAACCACCCTTGCAAGCGCATCACCGGAATGTAAACGCCTTTCCTGCAATCTCTCTCTTGTGCTTACGGGCTGCTGCAGGCGCTTCCATTGCCTTTGCGTATGGGGCGAATGGTCGCTTAGAGACACGGCTTGGTGCTGCCTGCGCAGGCTGAGCGTGCAATACGGACTCGGCAGCGTCATAGTTGAACGGTACATCGTCTTGCGCGTCACCTTCGGGCTGTGGTTGCGACTTGTTCTTCTTGTTCTTCTGGCGTTGCTTCTTGGACGGCTTCTCCAAGGCATCCGCCGAAGACCCGGTCTCCAGATTAATCTCGTCCAACTCAAGCGATGGCGCAACCTCGGCCCCTTCTGCTGCTGCAGCTTTGCGTTTGCGCGGTCCACCGAGCTCCTTGACAGTGAATATTTTCTTGCTGTCTTCTTCGGGTGCTGGAGCAGGGGCTGCTGCGGGCTTCGATGCTGGTTTGGCGGTAGCGGTATCGCCGAGCTTCTCGCGAGCTTCGGATACAGTTCGCGGCATGGGCGGCAGGGGGAGAGAAAGTCGAAGAGCCTCAGCAGAGGCGATTGCAGAGTACTCGGGAGGCGTAAGCGGCTCCCGGACTTCCAAGACAGGTCCCCAGAATTGAGACAACTCGTAGCGCGCTGCAGTAGGGTATTCAATTGCCTCGGCGGTAAGAGGCGTCGGGAGACCCTTTTCTGCGGCCTGAGTTGCTGTTGTTTTCAATGGCCGTACGACGTCGCGCCATTCTGGTCCCGTAGCTCCTTCGATCTTCGCCTTCTTGATAACTTCCAGGAGATCTGCTACTCGGTTCTTGGCAATTGGCGTCATTGGAGATAACGTCCGGAACAAAGTACCCTGGTCGAGAGGCATGACATGGGCAATCTTGAAGAGAATATGCTTTGGAAACACACACTGAACGCCCTCGTCCTCTTCCCTTGCCACCTCGTCGCGCCACTGATGCACTGCTTTGAAGACGGCGAACTGTTCCTTGCTTAAAACGGCAGGGTTGCGGTACAGATAGTCATACCATCCACCTTGCCCTTGTCCTGTGGCAGCGTCGTAAACGGGACGCTCGTAACGTTGTAAAGCTTCGTTCTTTGACTGTTCCAATACGTAATCAACGAGATTGTGGTCAGGCGTGGAGTTCTCTAGGAGCTCGTTGCGCAGGTGGTCGTAAATGTAGAGTAGGTAATGAGTATCAGAGCGGGCATAGTCAAACATCCCAGATGGAAGAGGGCGGATTCTCCAGTCGGCCATCTGATATCTCTTGTCGGCTTCGAAGTTGACAAACTTCTGAAGGAGGAACTTCAAGCTCCGCTTCGGGTAGTTCAAGGCACAGGCGGCGTGGTAGGTGTCGAACATGCCTACAACGTAGAGGCCAAGATCGCGCTGAAGCCAAATGATATCCATGGACGAGCCATGCAGGACTTTGAGAATTCCGGGATCCGCAAATACCTCATTGAGAATCTGGAGCTCTTCTCTCCAGGGTTTCAACGTGTCAACAACCCAATCCTTGTCCCGAGTGCTGATCTGCATCAGAGACACCAAGCCATGATACGAGTGCACATCGTGATGCTCCAAATCAATAGCAATCTCTTTTGCCGACTTGAGCTCGCTCAACATCTCCTTCACTCCTTCCAGGGTGTCCACGAAAGTCGCAGCTGTCGATTCAAATGGCTGGTAATCAACCGGAGGAGAGACAGTATAGGTCGAATCCGGATACTTGGCAGTGCGGATCTCCGTTTCGTACGGATTCCTATAACCTTGCGCAGCATCTGTCAACTTCAAAGAATCTTCCAGCGAAACAATCGCATGAGGCTTGATTCGAAGAAGAGGCTTGAAAGGAGAAACATCGGCGTTATCGGGAGTTCGCTGAAACAACAATTGCGGCTTGGGAATCTTCGACGGGCCATAATCGTAAACGGAGGGAAACTTGGTGGAAGCCTTTTTGGCGGCCTTTGCTGCGCTCTGCTCCTGCTGCGACGGGCTCAATTTTTTGATGACTCCTGTGAATTCATCAAGACAGGCGTCTGCCCTCTCGAGCAGCGCATCGATAACATCAACGACACCGCGCCAGTTGTCTTCGACGGAGTCTTCATCGTGCAGTTTAGGTGCGCGTAAATCCGTCCCGGCTGTGGCAGCCTTGAGAATGGTCGAGGTCAACGACAGGATCCTATCACTCTGCTCATCCAAGGACTCCGAGACTTCGGCGCTCGAGGTCCGGTGGAAACTCAGATCCTCTGCAGAGAGCTGCCCAACGGTGCGCGTCATCTGCACCAGACTGGACGTTAACCGTTGCTGAAACGGTGGGAAATCTGCGGCAGATTCCATGATGGGCAGAGTATGTCTGAGCCCAAAGCGAACTCAGCCAAGCGAGAGATGAAGGGACAAGAAATGTAAAATAGCGAAACCTTGTCTCGCAGGAGCAAACTATCTGAAAAATTGAGGAAAGCTCGGAGGTGGAGAAATGCGCCCACCGGAGAAAAAAAAACACTGACCGCCTACCATGATAGGTCTAGCCGCGGTATCTCGGAGATCGTCTCCATCTACAAGTTCTCGACTCCAAAGTATCCATAGTGAGGACCGGTTCCACAGACAATCCCATTGACAGCGAGACATTGAATGCGGTGAAGGAGAGGCTTGAACATTGCAACCTCTTTGAATACATCATTCTGGCTCAGACACTGTAAGCTAGCTCACCATGGCAGCTTCTATAGCCCCCGAATGCAATGACCTGAAAGAGTATATTTCTCCCAAGCCTCTGCCAGTATCAACTACAGACAAAGAGCTCAAACTGACGCCCCCCAGAAAATATGACACTTGTTTTCTGAAATGGTACAGCGAAAGTACGCATACTCTTCCCCCTCTAGCAATGTAAATAATGCCCGCTAACTACAACAGAGTACCTGCGTGGCAAAACCTCATCAAACGAATGCGAAGAACTCTTCTCAAAGTACAAATCTTGTCTACATGTATGTCAAAGCAGATACTACCGTAAACCCCCTGAGACCTAGACTAACAATTCATTCTATCAGAAAGCATTGAAAGAAAAGGGCATCGATACCATGGTCGATGAGGCGAGAAAAAGTACTGCCTCGGAAAGCGATGCTGACTATCTCCGGAAAACGTGAAGTGACGTTGGTCATCGGTCCCCTCGACTGGGGACGCTCTTCTTCATCTCCGCTCTTGCAGGCAACCTCTCCTAGATGCTTACCTCCGAGGACTAAACCGGGTATTGCTACCATTAGTATCCGGCTTCTCTTGGACGGTTTCCGCTCACGCCCCCGTAAGCAGGACTTTGGCGAGTTCATGTTGACGACTTGAACATATATGATCGAATCTATTCTATCTGAGCTACATATATCCGCTGACCTGGAAGTGGCCTATCTTCGGGAACGAGGGGATTCTCTTATGTATATTTTCTTACGACATCCTCGCATGCCGTGTATCTTTATTCGCCTATGTACTTATATCCAGAGGTTGCGTTTTCGAGCGAAATGCCAGCCCAAGTCGTTGATCAGAAAATGGCCCCGAAGCATCGTGTGCCTATACTTGTAACTCTACGCACCGAAGGACTGATGGCAACCCAACCGTGCAACAGACTAGGCGTTAAATCTCTTGATTATATGCATCATAACATATTATTCACGTTACTAAGCATCAATACCGGTGTCCCCGTCGTCTGACATCTCCCTGTGCAAACCCAACTGGAACCTTAAGTAAACCATTGGCAGCCGCGCCCCCTCCCATCGAAGAAGAGCCACTGCTACCACTGCTCGTCTTTCGGGGCTGGGTCAGCAGAGACCATACCTCTGCCATACCTGCCCGATGCGCAGGGAGCATGCTGTACTGCATACTGTACAGATTACGGCGGTGGATGGGAGGTACGAAACGGCCAGTGAAGAGGCAGAATATCACGCGCGGAGAAAGATAGTGCTTCCGAAGACGATGACCGAGTTGGAAGTACTGGTCAAACATGGCGCGGAGAGGGAGTGGAATCGACTGTCTCAATCAGGACTTGATCTTACAGTAGTCTTGATAGTCTTGATGGAGCGATGAATTAGGTAAACATACCTCGAGATGGATGAAAGGCACAGTGGAGCGAGGGTGAAGAGACTTGTCTTGCTCCTCGCGGAGTTCGAAACGAATACCACCTCAAATTTAGTCAGCGACTGCTGATCAGGAAGATGAGCAAAAGCCAACATACCTGGTAACCGTCGGGAATCCTTCAGGCGCAGCATCAATGCAAACAGAGGGAAATGGTTGAGAAAAGCCAAACATGTGTCGAATGCCGCTTTTAGCGAGATGATCAACATTCTCGCGGACGCAAACGTTAGATAGAATACAATCACTGTCGGTAGAAGGAAGAAGAGGACTGTGAAGAGGATAGTGCCGAGCAGAAGCTGATCAAGGTCGTAATCACACGAGTCTATTCGATGCCGAAGGACGTTGCGCTTTTTGCCGCGGAAGAGATGAAAGAGAGACACGATGATAGTAAGTTGCCAATTGAATATGCGAGCCGACGCAACGTAGAACGAGTAGATATGCACAGTTAGAATGGAGACGAGATCTGAAAAGAGGGCGATCGGCATGCTCGCTCCGGCGAAACTCGAGCATCCAACGACGTATATGACATGCGGGAGGTAAGGCTGTAGATTCGCAATGCAAGCTACCCCATAATTAGTAAGAGAGAAAGATATGTCTAACAGAAGAAAATGCATACCGGCCCAATTCTCAATGACCCAGAGAAAGAGGTCACCCAAGAATGCAGCAAGCTCGTTATTAAGCTTCAAGCCG